CTGGTGGGTTTTGTGAGTTCCACCCTAACAAAAATACACTTGGTAAATTTATTTTCTTCCACAATATTGCGCATTTTCGCTATAAAAATGCCCCTATAAGTGCCTATCTCTTTAAAATAAAAGTCATTGGGACAAAGCTTTGTGGGTTCGCTTTTGGGGTTGGAAGAGCTGTTGTGAAGATAAAGGATTTCTAAAACAAGTAAGTGATATCTGGTCGCAATAATATTAGCTTACCTAATGATCATTTCGAGTTCGAAAGCTAGGGCCATCCTAGTTGAAGCTACTCTGTGCTAATATGAGTAATTGAACGTTCATAGACTATGGACACTTAGATTATCTAATGTTGTCCGAGTTTTTGGATACGTAGCTCATTTCTCAACACATATGTACATGTGGGGTTTGAACCTATTGGGATTCGAAGCCACATGAAGCCAGCCGACAAGACCGCTATATGCTCGTCATGCATCACAAAAGCATCATTAATTGATCCTAGAGATAGTGCTTGAAAGTAGCACGTTTGTGTTGCATTGGCCGGAGAGGCACCATTTGAGACATTAGGATTCGGTGTTGGCTTGTGGTTTGACGAAAAGTTTTCTGGAACTTCTCCTTTGGTACCTTCCTCTGAAATACTCGCGCAAATTCGAGGAATGTGTTACCTTACCAACGGGTTCGTTTTAAATTTTATGGGTCTCAATTGGATTGAGAAACTACATCTATTCCATGCGTCTCTGAACAATATCTGTCAAAATGTGGGAGTCGGGCAGTGACCCTGGCGACCAATCCAAATCAAGTGTTTTCTTCGTGTTCCGTGAACGAACTGGTGTCGATCAGCCTGCATTGGTAATCTCGACGTGATCGAAAACCTCTGGGGTTTGTTATCCAGGCTAACATATAAGAATGCAAATGACCACAGTTATCTGGTTGGGTCAAAGGATGTCTTAGGACAATACTCGTAACAAAGTATTTTAAGCGCTATTTTATATTACTGTATTGTATTGTGTATAAATTTTGCAATCACCGAGACTTACAGTTCGGTTAAAAAAAATATTCACGTCAACCGTTACAGGGAACATATTCAACGGGGAAAAAGTGTTTACAGACAGGGACATTTCATAGTCCAAGGTTAAGATGAAGTTCACTTGGTACCTTCCCTCGTTTTGTGATTAAACGTGCAATGTAGGGTGAATTTCGGTAAGCATTTACGCGGAGGAATTCAGAGCGCGAGGAGAGATAGGAACGGCAACCTATCAGTTTTGAGTGCAATGCGTGGTCAAGATCTGTGAGAATCTTCTCTGCAAATTTCGCACAGGAATTTGTATGGTACTCTGAAAGTTTCACAGTCAAATCGTTCACAGGAATGGAGCAAATGCGACTAACAATAGTAAGACCACGGCGTAATACTCTGAAACTCTGTTTGAGTAAGCCAGGAAAAATAACTGGGGAACAATGAAGTAAGATGGGGAAAACACACTGATACACAAAGGTAGAAATAACTGCCGGGGATGCACGAAACTGTCTGAGCTTTCGAATTCGAAATGATAGGCGCGGCAGTTTAACAATGAAGTTGTGGATATGGGTTGACAAATGAAGATTGCTAGCTATAATTACACCAAGATATTTAACACACCCTAGATAAAGGATTGCTGTTTGGCACTGAAGAGTCTGTTTGGTATGAAGAGTGCGCAAAACTGTATGAACATTTAACACATTTACCGGGGTTTAAGACAGGTCTGAATTGAGAGGAGAATAACTGAATTTGACAAAGATTGTCGGTGAATGGGGCTGAGATCGGAGAAAGAAGAAATGGATTGGCACACCACAGCATCATCTGAGTATTTCGAAACACGTGCAGGAGAAACACAAGGCCAAGCTAACAATTGCTTGGGGCATTCAAATGATTCCACCTTTTGTAACAAATTTGATCGAGGAATGGAATCAAATACTGAAGAGTAGTCAAGATAAGCACCACAGACTTAACAGAGTTGTTCAAAGACCAAGTAGTAAAATGAATAAGAGTGGAGACTGTGTTTAAAGTGGATCTATTAGGTTTGTAAGCTAACTGTAGAGGAATGTTAATAGATTTCTGAAGGCGTTTGAAGATAGCCAGTTCAGTTAGCTTAAGAGCAGATGTTAGCGTTATGGGACAAAAGCATTTGGAAAGGGTAAACGATTTTGATACTTTGGAGATTGGTATGACAACGACCTGCTCCCAACAGTCGGGGATAGAAGAAGTATAAAGAGATTCATCTACAACAGAGATTATTTCCTCATCTGGGGAAGCGGTAGCAAATTTGAAGAGGGCTGGAGGTAAATCATCCAGACCTGCAGGAGAAGACGAAGTACAACGATTCAAAAGTTTTTAACATCACAATTTGAGAATGGTTTCACATTACAAGCATTGTGTGATAAGATGATGAAAACCATAAGGCCTACCTGCGAGATCCATTGAGACGAGAAACACTTGTGAGTGAGAAGTTGCGAAGACAAAATCTGATGCGGTCAGCTCAAGAGAATANAATAATTTATCTGCAGTGAAAAATAGACTTTCGGTAGAACTAAGAGTAAACAGTGGTCGCTGGTGGAAATTGGTGCTTTTTGGGCTAAAGAAAAGAGGATTGGCTGGTTGGTGATTATTCTATATTGGATAGAGTTACCTCTTGTGGCAGAGTGACAAACCTCTATAATACCTAACGATAGTATGGTTAAAATCACCAACGATCGTGTAAGTTAGCATCTAAAAATGGGGCAGTAAAAGCTAGTCATGCTTTGGTTGAAAAGAGGTGCGCTATACTTTATCTATAGACAAATAATTACGTAGTAATCGAATTAGATACGGATTACGGACCACGAATCACGTTCGCAACTGAAGGACAGAATAGCACTAGAAATTGTACGCTGTAATCTGTCGTCACTGAAATGCAGGAAAAAGGCCACAGAAGTAATAGTTCATTTATTGAAAGTAATCAAGGGGAATAAATAATACACAAATGAAAATGTTATTGTTCAAACGAATATCAACCAACTACCGTTCTCGTTCTTCGAGTTACACGGATTTCCTTTAAACTATGTTTGTTGATTGATCGATACTGTTGATCCGTGGCCCAATGTCCGGAAAGTTGGAACGTGTGGGCGCCTTGCTGGCGTCATATCGAACGAGTGACTCACACATTATCCCCACATTTTTACGCACCTTATTTGAATATATTCGTGAATTTGAATTCTGCACTTCCAAGCTTTTTGAACATTTGCTTTACCGTGACTGCAGTGATTACGGTATGCAAAATGATAATTATGATATTCTTATAGTCGAAAAGGAACCGAAAGTGTGTAACTTCTCTATGACTTGGACGTCCAGGGTTGATATCAACCAAAGGGTCACCTGACGTTATCAACTCGGACAAGCCAATGGTTAAAGCAAGCCTCTGTTGAATCCTGAGCCAGTGCTATGCACATGTTTATGTTCACGTGTGTTTACATACCGGGAAGGGAATTGAAATCGAGCGAGGGGATTATTGATCGACTCTGTTACGGTGCTCTCAATCTGAGTTGTATAAGACAAGACTGAGAGGGTGCGTTGGACTTGTCCGCTTATAGAAGATAGAACAAAATTTGGGGTAAGCATCAGAGTTGTCACATTGACAGTATTGGGTGAGGAACCGGATTGCTACATGATTTCCATGCAGAATAATAGAAGCGATTAGAAGAGATGAGACGGATGGATAGCCAAACAAAATACGGCCTACAAAACTCGCATGGAATCACCGGAAGCAGTTTTAGTGGCTCACAAAAAAAACCATGGCATCGTTCTCTCTTGAGGAAATTGTGTAAACATTACGCTCGTATTTTATTAACAGAAATAAAAGTATTGTACACAAGCCATTCATGTACCTGTATGTATCTGACAACATGAATCAGGAAGATTAGCCCCCATTACGCTGAGCAGATACGGTACAGTATTCTTACTCAACAGAGTAGCAAAGAATACAACCTTAACGATATAATACGATACAAACGGGTTTTTTAGTCACCTGTGCACATGTTTGCGAGTTGTGTTTAGCGTAACTTGTGCAAGCTTTTAACAATTGCATTGCATACACGAAAATTCTTCAATGGTCACAGAAAAAGATGAATTTTTACAAAGAAGAAATTCAGATAATTATACTGTCGGAGCATATTGGGATACCTATGGTTTAGATACCAACCAGCACTGTCTGCATGGTCCCTGTTAAAGAATAAATAATCATCACTATACAGCGTAATACAGTGAAGCGAACTTTACTGATCGATGCCAAACTCATATTGCATACAAGGTAAGAGAAAATGCGTAAGAAGGATAGGACTTACTTTCAGAGACGGGAAAAGAAAGTGAACCTCTATGGTCAACTCACAGGGTGCACTGTTCAACTGTGCATACATACTATTTCGAGCATTCTGGACTGATAAGAAGTAACAGCAAGATCGCCACTGCTGTCGATTTGCAGCCATAACCTTCAGTTTCTATAAGCATGCGGTTACGCAGTCTTTTGGATTCCAACTAGGAAGACGAGAGATATCTGATCTGCCTAATCACCTTGTGCATTTCTTCATGCCGCATCTTCACGTTATCTGCTGGCCTCCATATGAATTTTTCTCCAGTCTGCAGCAACCACTACAAATATAGTGTGCGGTACGATAGGCGACCTTCGGACATACGCAAAACGTGTCCTAACGAACGGAGCCTATTGAGATGAGTTCGATGCGTTTGCGAGTTCTTGTTCAATGCATTCCCAAACACCCGACAACTTACGTCTAATTTTATAACCCTCGCACTCCATCCCACTTAGACCAAACTACGTAAGCATCGATTGTCGAACACTGCTAAACGAAGAATGTCTTCTACCCGCAAAAATCAAGGTCTCAAAACCCTAAGGCCAAACTGATCGTATAATGGCGCAGTATTTGCGACTTTTCAACGTCAGTCAAACGTCACGTTGTTGCCACAGGTGTTTATTGCATAAAAGATTTTCTGTACAACTTTGAAGCATTTGACCCTAAGCAATGGCTACCGAAGGCATTTGTACAACTCCGCTCTGATAGTGAAAAACCTCGTGAGCACCCCACTCCGGAAAAATAGCCACACACACAAGCCTATCTAATGGTACACAACTGTGCTCAACAATTCTAATTCGAACTGGCTATCCTTCTCACTTCACCTTCACGCACAATCCTCAGTTCACCGATTCAATCATACACTCGGAAGCACCAGACTCGAGTTTCGCTCTCATTAGAGCTCATCAGTAGTGCATATCCACCTTCCCGTCCGGGATTTGAACTCCGAACCCATCACATGGAAGGCGCGTGCGTTACCACTGTGCCAACCAGCTCATACTATGGCTAAGCCGAATTACCGCTTCATGTTTGGTCAGGTTTCATCTTCATTGATAGTTAGTCGATTCATTTGTTCTACAGTTCAAAGGAATGCAATCACATGATCTGATTTCCTGAAACTGTCATTCACACTCCTGGACTGTGCCTACATATGTTTGTTAATTTCCTCTCAAATATGAGAAGAAAGACACATTCGTTATTCGCTTAGTTTCGTTTCGAAATGAGTACAAAGAGCAGTATATTGTTTTACGGAGTGTCAGTATGTGAAAGGCCGAGAAGTTTACTGTGTGAACATTGATTGACATCATTAGATAAACCAAAATCCACGGTTTTCAGGTTGCTAAAACGGCATACAAAAACCGGACCGGGTCGTCGTCTCTCTGGCAATGGTTAGCTTTCTGTCACAAACGGAGAGTTACTGGAAGGGATAATTTGATATCTGCAAAGAAGCTTAGCGTGATGATCTCATCATCTTTAAAACATGATTTTACTCTTGTCTTTTTGTGCATTCTGAATTAGGATAGTCAGAATCCTTTTTGTTGAGTGGTTGCTTCGTAGACATCGAAAAATCCTTCGGTGTACCATTGCGCTTCTCACAGATGGCCGACAACTAGCAGAGAGACAAGTACATGTTCTGCGTGTGAATGTAGGTCAACTGAGTACCGTCCGGGAAAATCGGGTTGTGTGAATGAATGTGGTTAAACTTTGGGAATAGTGCGTATAATTGTAGGCGTTTAGATAGAATTGTGTTTGAATCGTTCTTCAGGAGGGCGGTTGTCTGAATTTTGTACCAACCATGTGTTTCAACACTTATCATTATGGCCTGGTGGCTTAGCTAGTTTCGTGTACTGTGTACAAAATCACAGGCAGTGTCCGAGCGTGGGATCGAGTCCTACTGGTTAAAACTTATCATTGTGTTTCGATTCAGCATATTGACGTGAACAACAGAGAAGTTTAACCTCTTAGTTTCCATTGCACGTACGCTCCAATCTGAGCTTCCGAAATGTCTTCTCTCAGCCCTGAAAACCAATGTGACGTAATCCGCTTTTTTGGTTTTCGTTACAGCTATGGGACACGGAATTCCGTCCTGTGGCGAAGCTACCGCATCACACTTGCAGAATAACCCACTTGTTGGCTCATCCCCTAATGCATGCCACAGAGCAAGATGCCGTTGGGGCCGACAGGAACAGGTTTCTCGGATTTTTATCGATCGATTCCGGTGGCACATTGAAATCATGGGAATATAAACACTGGAAATCCCTGGCATCCACTGTTTGGCAAAATACAAATCTCGAAGAACCGAATAGTCTGACCATTGATGAGACGGACTCGGTGCAGCTGTTCACACGGGGCCCCCGGGAAAATATCACAGCTAGTGATAGAGCAAACGGTTCAACTTTGGCCCGTTTGTTCGCATTGTGGACTGTCAGGGATCAAATTTGTTTTATTCTGCAACCCCGACCAAAGCGCCTGAATGGGAATTGTGATTATATATTGGAAACGTGGAAAGCTAAACAGGTGAGTACTGTTGACCCAATGGGAGGAGACATTTGTACCGTTTTACATTTTTAAAACCGTGGTTTACATCATCAATCATAGAACATTACCTTTGTGAATGTGCTATGAATGCACTTTGGATATTGGACAAACTATCCAGAGTGCCTGAATATTTATCCCCAGACGCTATGAGTTCGAATCAAACAAGTTGTTATGCTATAGTAAAACAATCTCCATCTCTTTCAATATCCCGCACCGAATATTTATACATACATATACGGACGAAAACATCACTTCAACTCCGAAAGTAGGCCCACATCGCTAAGGTAGAACTGTGGGAGTATAGAGTGTTGTAAGACATCGCAAACATTGTTCAACCCGGTCTTGTAAGCGGCTAAGGGTGCTCTCATGAGCTAGGTAGCAAGCGTTGACAAGAGTTGCTATCAATACAATACACCTGTGATCGGAATCAGAGAAGAGGTCGCACAAGTCTCCAGCCACTGAAGCTCGAGCCTGTCGATTTTATTGGCGCACGAGTATGTGGAGGATTGGGAAACACATGTTTTGGATCCTTATTGCGAATGTGAGGACTGTGATACACTAGAGTCACCGGTTTTGAAAGACGGCGACTGGAAACACGAGTAAGGCAAAGGCTGACGACAAAATACCACTGCTAAAACGAACTGGTTTCTGCTGAAAACGACAAAGACCACTCACCTCTCTTTTTTAAACCAACGATATGTTGGCCAAGTCGACACACTGCTTCAGTAAGACTTCCCGCCCGCCACTGGAATCAGTACAGTTAGAACACCAGATCTCGAAGAAGGGTTCCGATTCTTCCAGATGATCATATCAACTGGGACTTAAGTAGGTAATGCGATAAAGCTTGTGATGTGCAGAGATGGGGTAGCAGGTGATGGGGATTACTTAGGCCAGGTTCATCTTGAAGTATCGTGACGGGGAGATTCGTGTATGACGAACTAAGGGAGCATGCATGAATGATGGCGTAATCAATCCCGCTGAACAAGATGATGGTGTTTCTAGTTCGGTTTTGTGGGATGGTTTTTAGAGGTTCCAAAGTGAGCCTGACTCGATATGTTACCGGGGCCAGTTCTTTTGCGGTTATCACAATCATCTGCTCCCTCTAATTTTCAGCATGAGATATAACATAACCGAACGACCGCACCGCTCTCAGATTGCGTAGGGTTACAGACTACTCTGAGCAATCGTCTACGTTTGTGTAGGCCAGGCTACTCCCCGAATCTCGGTCCCCGTTCGAAAGCATTTGGGAATTCATTAAAATAATAATAAAGGAAAGGAGACTTAGAAAGAGAGAATTAGAGGAGTTTTGTGGTGCAAATGGCAAGCATTGCAACACGACTGTATTCAGAACTTAGTCTCCAGCTACCCAATACGAGGCTTGTTCATCTTGAACGAGTACCGGGAATATGCCTCAGCTACAATTTATAACAAAACACCGATAAGTATTGCATCAATTTTGTGCCTTACGAAGGAGTGTTTTCTCGCTCTTCTAAATGTACAAATGATGTGATCCAATAAATAAGGGAAGAGAAAAAGTCCCGCGCGAGTACGTGTGCATATTTAACTTGATAACCGAAAACGGGGGAAACTGAAATCTTCATTAGGGAGGGTAGTCGGGATGCGTGTCTGTGCAATAAGAAAATTCACATTCCTCTTGCCATCAGTGTAGCAATGATGGTTGCTCCCGGTTTCGTTGCTTGCCAAATTCCGGTTTCGAAATTCTGATATCTATGATTTTGTCAGTCGCAAGTGACTGTAGTATTCGTAATACTGGTAGTACAGTAATCGTAATCAGACCTATTGCAATTCTCGATTCCGAGACATAAGGAGATGATGTAAGTAGTAAATAGATTTGGGGAAGAAATTCAACGGAAAATGTAAAGTTTAAAAGAATAGTTCGTTGGTTCCTAATATTTTATCCAACCCGTTTTCGCGTTCGCTTTGTCGTGGTACGATTGATTGGGCTGCAGATGATTAACCCGGATCGCTGGCTTCCTAATGGCCATCCGAAAATTGTGCTGTATTGCTCTCTAACAGGCATTATCTAGCAGCTTGGTCTCTGACCATAAACTTTTTACACAAACGTTTGAACCGAAAGCTTGGGTTTGGGTAGGATCATCCTAAACGCAGCTGTTGTATGTTTATAGTGTTTGTTCACCACCAAACGAAGGTTGCCGCTTCCGAATAGCACTTTTGCGATGAGAGGCCGGGCGAACAGTGTTTTGCTATCCGTGTGAACGATTGATCTGTTGTGTGCCCGGTGTACCGTGTACTGCCATTGCACGTGAACCAATATAAAATTATAATTTGGGGCTGAGGAGGCTTAGTTAATCAACACAAACCCAGTGGGTGCTTTCGAAAGACGACTGGTCAATCGGTTCCGTATGTGGTAAATGCTTATTAGCGTTTGACGAAAGCTCATGTAAATATTTTTTGCGACAGATGCACACTTCAGTATTTGCAATGGTTGAAGTACGCACAGATCACGGAGTACAAATCATGTACTAGGTGTCACGGAGACCTCAGAAGCACTTAATCACACTGGCACGAAGGTATCCCACGCAATCGAGACGCAAGGAAAAGGCCACAGGAGTAGCTTTCGTTTATTGGAAGAATTCCAAGGGGTTAAGTAACTAGTGAAAAAGAAGTTCGTTGGTTATCCAAACCTCTACTAATCGCGTGCTCGTATTCTTGGCGTCGTACAGCTTCTATCTGGGCCGCACGGCTTCTGATTGGTTGGCACAATCGGTCTATGCTTCCAGTCCATAAGCTGTAACGCGTAGGCACTTTGCTGGCGTCATCTGGGAAGCTTGAGTCATCACAGTTGTCCGGAAACTGTAACGTTTGGCCCCGTAGTTTGCATCACCACACTATTCCCCAGTTCAAGCGCTTTGCAAGTGCGGTCTTTGCTCAGTTTGTCTCTCACGGGAGAGATGCAGCAAAGGAGAACACCTAATGAATAGCCCTGTACCGCACACTGATTAACGGAAGCCTTCAGGATGCGGAAACTACTCAAGTGGTTATACCTGAATGAGTACGCTTCGACATATCTCGAGATGTTTTATTAGTGTTGAGTCAGGATCTTGAAAAAGAACTCCGCACTGAAAGAAGCTTTGTTGATCTCAGCGAAAGGTTCTAGCGATTCCATTAAATGTCCAAATGTGGAATAGTATTCAAAGTCAACAAAAAATGTACATTGTCCCATTGCTAAATGTTCAAAATCATCCGAAACGCTTTGGTGGGATCCACTGTATCACGGCATTAGCATCATGCTTGTTTCCAAGCCGCTGATATATATTTTCTAATAGGTAGTATGTGAATGACTGGACAAAATTTCCCTGGAAGCACATGCTACTTATCATCAAATAGTTTACCAAGACCATCAGGTCACGTTTGTTGCGGTTGGTAGTATCTAACCCACTTACAAAATAGCGAATCATAGCATTGATTCTTCATTGCGCTGGCTCTGAAAGAGCTGTCTATCCAATGGTCACCCGGTGTTGCAAACAAGGTAATTAGAACGTTCCGATGTCATATTTGGTTGCCCCGTAATCCTTGTATGTAGAAACTCTAGAATGGTATTGGTTTCTACTTCATAAGACACAGACAGGTGTGGATGGGCTAATAGTGATTTAAAACGTCTTCATCCGTAAGAATCAAAATATCGTCCACATGACTTGTACAAGTGAACTTGTTGATTCTTAAATTTTCAACGGAATAGCAAGTCTCGCTTTTTGGTCTTGGTGACTACTCAAGAATCCGTTTATTGGTCGCGGTCGAGAGAGAAAGAGCGACGCACGCACGCAATCACGCACGCAGTGGCAAGGTCAGCTTATGATCAGCCCAGAAAACAAGTGCACATCCGGACCGATTAACGAAAATGCAGGCCAATAAAATTCCGACCGCTGGCTGCTTGAGTGGAACGTTTTGAATTATAGGTTCAATTATCATCCAATCGGGTTCACCCAGTCGATCACGACGAGACACGGCTTTCGCTTGCTGCGCTCGCTTACCTCGCCGACCGTTGAAGCGTTCGGCCTGATANCAAGTGCCAGCCAAAAAAATAAGCACGTGTAAAAATTGAGTACACACCCAATCAACCAACTTAGATCGGTATGTGAATCAGCAGATTTGAATAAATATTTGCCCCCAAGAAATAACGTTGCATGCGACTGATGAATAATGTCATATTTTGGATCATTTTGAATAGAAATATCGATTATCTTATCACGGATGCTAAATACTTGATTGTTTCAAGTGAAACCTGTGCCATAAATTGCCTTGTATTTTCAGGTCATTCAGCCCCTCATTCGTCTGCCTCAACCCGTGAGCAGCGTTGAAGTGATTAGTTTCGAGACTCACTTTCCCCCAGACTGCACAAACGGGGATATCAGGACGAGGGAACCGGACTCGAGGAACTGCGCACTACTCATCACATGTGTCAATGATCCAGGCAGTGTTCATCTACTGAAATATCCCTGTGGAACTGTCATAACCAGCGCGGTTTGCTTTGGGGGCATTCAGAAAGCGGTTTGGCATTGGACTACGGAAAAGTTATTCATCCTCAGAAAAGTGAGTTTGAATTATGCATTTGGGGGATTTGCAAACGGCGCATTTGGATGAGTGAGGAACATCATCATCCCCGCACAGCGCAATACAGTGAAGCGAACTTCACTGATCACTGCCAAGCTCACAACGTACACAAATCAAGTGATGAAGCACAAGCTGGAGAGGGATTGGACCTAATTGGCGTGAGGCAATGAATGTGAACCTCTGTGGTCAACACACAGAGTACACAATATAAGTGTGCATACATACCTTTTCAAGCATTCTGACCTGATAAGAAATGACAACAAGAACGCCATTGTTGTCGCTTAGTCGCCACATCCTTCCGTGTCTCTTACCAGCCAGTTGCAGAGTCTTTCGGACCTCAACACCTATTCTACCTAATCGCTCTGTGCATTTCGTCATGCATCATTTCCAAGTCATCTGTTAACCTGCTCGCGGTTTCTTCCAATCTGTAGCCGCAACTGCGAATAACGTGCGGTGCGGTAGATGATGACTGGGTATGCACACTACATGTCCTAACCAACGAAGCCGAATGATCTGAATTCGATGAAACAACGAATTCTGCATCAAATTATTACCAAATACGCGACACTTCCCCATAGAGTTGCTTACATACAGGCTCGTTCCATCCAACCCGCGCAAAACCACTACGGCAGTCGAACAATTCTAGACGACGAATATCTTCCACGCTCACATTTAGTGTCTCGAAACCACAGCATACTGGCGCAGTATACACGAACTTTCGTTTTCAACGAAAAGTTGCGTCTCCACCAAAGGTGTTTCAGTCCTGCGTAAGCTGCTGGAACCTGGGAAATGCGGGCGGTCACTTCCTTGACTATGCTACCGTTATTTGTTACGCAGCTACCTGAGTTGGTGAAACATTCCACTACAACTTATTCTTGACCATCAAGCATCAGCGCTTGGATAGACGACACCCAGTCTTCTAGTATCAATTGCATTTTCGGAATAACTGTGATCCGAACAAATGACGACCGGTGAGGATTCATCCGATTGCGCGCAACCAGTGAACAGCGTGCCGTGGGTTGCAGGCGTGAAATACACTGCACCAATTTTGTGCGAGTCAACAAGGCCAGTTTTCAGATAGGGTTGGGGGAGCGGACGCTCTGAGGGACAGACGCACATAAACTGAATGACTATATCGACAGTGATGAGGCTTTGTTACCACATGGGGGCTAGTTGAGATGACTGGAAGAATAGGCTTATTTCACAGTCAAAAGTACAAGCTTTTATGTACCCACAATGGGTGAATTTTCAACTTCATACATCGATACTCCTATGATTATTCTGAATAAAATGGCGTTTGAATAATGAAAACTATGGAACGTAAAATTGATTAATCAAATGGATGCGCATGAATTTCATTGTTCTTTGTTCTTTGTGGGTTAAAAAGGGGACGCTCATTTGACGTATTTGGGCGCACGGTTCAATGCAGTTCGCTAATAATAATGATGTGTACGTCTGCAAAATGTACAGAATAAACGAATTCGTTAGATACATCAATGAGTCTATAGTGACATTTTTATAGAGACAAGGATCATTCTGGGAATTCCACAGTAGTTTGATAGATGACTTGTAGATTTGCTTAGAATAATAAAATCCTTCCCAAGGAGATCAGGGAAAATGACTGGTGAGCAATATAACCAATGGGGTGTGATGCAAGCTTCGATAAACTTAAGGATTATCTTATGTGGCACAGAAAGATGATAGTCAAGTCAATTATTTGATTTATGCACTCCGAAAGGTGAATGTTCAACATCCACATAGTCAACCAACAAAACTATATCAAAATTGTGGTAAGCAAGGAGAAAACAAAATAATTTACCATATGAATGAGTTAAGTTCCGAAGCGATGCGTTCTGGGATGATAAGAAATTGGGCAAGATAAGGCACCACTGAAGACCGATAGGCGGTCGTACTAGCAAATATATAATTATAGCGGGACCGGGTGGTAGAGGACACACCTAATAAGATCTGAATGTAACGGATGTGCAGGGTTGTCTATGATTTTTGTGGATAACGAAAAACATAACTTTTTATGTTGTTAAATGATGAAGTGACAGAGAGTTTACACGGGAAATCCCACTACTTCTTGATAAATGTGTTAATGATCTGGAAAGTAGTTTAAAGTCCTTTCTGAGCATCCCTGGAAAGATTGCTGGGGACCGATGCAATCATAGGGGCAAAATAAAAGCAAAACGAATAGGTTTAATCAAGAGGCAAGGGACGGATAGCGTTTTCAGTCGTAAGACATAAAATGATAATTTTCTGATCTTTCCAAATACGGAAACAACTTGATCAGACCAGCATAAATTTCGGATGATCAACACACCAAGATACCTGACCTTTAGGGGTTGGACAATAGTATCATCACCTATGTTTACCGTTGGATAGGATTTCAGGAGATTAGCATAACTATTCCCTTTGTGAAATGAAAACAGCACGTCTACGCATTGAGAGTTAATCTATGTTCAGTGGACCAATCAGCAGTAAGGCCAAGTTGAAGAATTGATTGGAGGGCTAGATGCATCAGGGTGGGCGATTCCGACCACTAAATCGTCTGCTTATTTGAGCGGGGAATTTTGAAAAGTAGGCATGGATGAAACATAAATGGAAAAGAAAAACGGGAATAGAATTGCACCTGGTAGTACGCCTAGTGTAGGAATTAAGGAACAGTGGGATCAAGCTATGTAACGTGTGAACTGTGATCGACTTGTGAACTAGTTTGTGAGTACCGCAGTTATGGTATGCGATGTCCCATTGGAAGACAAAATATATACCAACCTTACAAAAAGGTCCTGTGAATGTGCGTGGATAACGGGAGATATTTCACGGTGGAGGAACGTGGTGTTTAAGGTGTGTTCAGAAGCAAGAGAACCAGTTGTGGACTGCATCACGCCCCCTTCAGGGGATTCTTTGGGGCATGAAAGCTTAGGACCAACAACTGAATTTTCGGATTGTTTGTATCCAATGAATGCGGAATAGGTTGAAAGTTTGCTGACGAATAATGTAAAGATAATTGGTGGAAAGAATAAAGTCTCGAGTCGAAAGGTCGGGAGACGCCGAAACTTTGCCACGATTCTGTGTGAACTGAGTACGATCAGCCAAAACAGGTCATTGCTGGAACCACTACTGATCCCGAAAGACAAAGATCAACGTTTATTTTCAAAGTCGAAAACTCTAAAACGTTGATTGATAGCCCCAGACAAAGTGTTCCGCGATAATGACAACATTTGTTCACTCCCTAGTTGTTCAGCACTCGTTTCAGTTTATATTTTGACCAGGGAAACCACACGTCACTTTTTACTACCATGAAAATATAAAATGACTCCTTCATAACTATTGAGACCTCCCTAGTTGTGGTCTTTCGCTGACCACTGAAGGTTGACCACTCCCATAATCATCATCATCGTACAGCGAAAAACAGGGAAGAGAACTTCACTGATGGCTGCCAAACTCGCAATGGATATGCTTTGGGGTTTGATGGACGGGCACTGCCAGGGTGTCCAGCCACTAAGCAGGAGAACGATTAGGGTTCTCAACCAAAGTCTTTAGTACTGACAAGAACCTAACCGCAAGGCAGCGGGTGAAGTGAAGTGGTGGCCCATTTACTTAGAGCAGTTACTCCTCCACCACTTTTTACCGACTGAAACTCAAATTCCAGTCGAACCTCCAACCTGTAGAACCGGGAAACTGAACTTCTTCTGACCTCTACCCATTAACCTTCCGGGCATGATCAGATCTCTGGCCATCCTGTGTAGGTCGTTGGGTCACAGAGGTGCACAAGCCATCACACCACGTCAAGGTGCAATTTCATCTGCCAGAAAGATGGTGACATGTATTGCTTAAGAACTAAGGTCACCTGAGTACCACTTACGAAAATCACGTCGTCTAACTGCATCTCGTTTCAATTTTGGCGTTCTGGGCGGTTAGACAAACTAGCGCGTGAATCGTTCTGGTGAGGAATGGAATCATAGAGACTCTGTGCTACACTCTCCCAAAAATCACGACAGCAGTGCAAAGCTATGAACTACACAGCTATTCATCTTTTTTAAAATAAGTATTTATAGATCTTTCATCTCTGCGCGCGGTGGCCTTCCTAGTTTCTCACCTTACCGATTTTCTTGAATTTTGTACTACTGATGGACATGAGTGAAACAAAAAAGCAAAGTAGACGAGATTCATGTATTTAAACTGCTAAATCTGCGCTGAGTATCCAACAAGAGGAAATTTCCATTTTCCATCCATCTTGTTTCATCTACAAAAAACGCATGCGTTTGAAGTGTGCGTCAACTAAGGTCAGCCAAGTCGAACCCTTCGACAGGTCACGCACCGTGAAAGCAACCGACTATTGTCCAGTTTAACCAAATGACTTGTGGTTGCGGCAATTGTGTATTGTGATACCTTGACGTAGATGATCTGTCGATCGGCGTGCTTATTTAAATTGGCGTAACATAATGAGGGTGGAAAAAATCAAAGCGCGCGGTAACGAAGGCGGAAGTGCAAGTTATCGCGCGGGGAGAGACAATCTGAGTAAAACAAATGTCGTTATATGTTACCGCTGAAGTGAATGAATATGTACATAGATTGTGAAGATAAAAGTGTTTCTGTCGTGCCAGTTGTCAGAGATTTTCCGTACAGTCGGCCACACCACTGCGTACACTTCTGGCAGGTAGTAATTGGAAGCATCGAAAAAGTACCGTTCGTTTTCCGGAACTCGTGAGCACATGACTGGTTCGTCAATTGTTATTTTGATCGGTCATCAAATCACCATTCGTGTCAAATTACTTTATATGATTGTGAAAATTTCAGTAGCCTGGGTGGGATTCAAACCCACGCATGGACGCCGCCTACGCTTTGTACGCGCATGCTCTACTAGCTGAGCTACGAGGCCACACCGATAGCACTAATCTTTTCACATTTGAATTTACCCATCCAACTTACAGAGGCATGTGGCATCCACCAATTCGCATGTAAGCTGACTG